AATTTAACTATAAATTTAATAACTCCTCACTCTAATGACCTCTCTGAGAGTTGAATTAAAATTCTACACCATTGTTAAATTTATTAGAATGCCTCTGTAATAAGTTCTCAGAAGGCAGAGATGACGTTTTCTATATGGATGTAACTGTTTGCATGCCTTTCTTTCCCACAATTCAGAGTTCCTTGAAAAAAGAACACGTTCTAATAATCTTTGGATCTCTCTACCTTGGATCTCTCTACTTAGCACCTTTGTCAACAAAGGTGACAATAATAATTAACATTTCCTAAGTGCTTTCCCTGTGCTAGACACTGCTTTAAGAACTTTACATATATTTTCACTTAATTACTATTGTGGAAACAGTTCCTGGAAGTTGGTACTATTATTATTATTCCCATATCACGGAAGAGGAAACTGTGGCACAGAGGCTAAGTAATTCTCAAGATGCATGTACAGTGAATGACAAAACCAGGATTAGAAGCCAATCTCTCTCCAGAGCCTTAGCTTTTAGTGTTTATGGAGAATATTAATGTCTGTTGATAAAATCATTGAAATAATAAACTCACTGGCAATTTATTTTAACTAGTGATATAAAATAAAATCATGTTATTCATGGATAGTATTGATACAGTAACTCTTCCCTATGTATACGTGAAACGTTGATTTGATAATCTCACCTTTTTCTTTTTTCTCTGGATCATCTGTTTTCTTATTTGTTTCTGAAAAGACAAAGCAAAATAAGTACTGTGAGAGTCATGATTCAATATCTCAAATTACAGGACTATCTTTCAATGAATTCAAATAAATATCGTTTAAGAACAATATTTCTGGGATTAAGAGATACACACTCCTGTATATAAAACAGATAAACAACAAGAACCTACTATACAGCACAGGGAATTATATTCAATATCTTGTAATAACCTACAATGGAAAAGAATCTGAAAAATTATATATATATATGACTGAAGCACTTTGTTGTACACCTGAAACTAACATGACATTGTAAATTAATTACACTTCAATTTTAAAAAACAGAAAAATATTTCTGGGCAAACAATTCAATTTTCCTAAATCCTGAATTCTTTACACATGCAATTTGCTATAAAATATTAAGAATCTGAATAACTTATAAAAGTCGCCGAGCAGTAAGTAGGCATTGGGCACCAGGCTGAATGTTCCTGGTCTATAAGGGGTGGAGGGTCATCTCCACCAACAGTAAGTGCCCCTGTGGGTGCAAACTGGGTCAGGAGAAGCCCTCCTCAAGGCCTGTCCAATATTTTTATTGTCTCCTAAAGCCATATACTACTTTATAATAGGCACTGTGTGCTTTCAAGGAATGCAGCATGCCACCCTACTGAGAACACTAGCCTCACTCCTAAAGGACTTCATACATCCACAGGTGACCCACTGGGGATGCCCACACTGAGCCCAGGTGTGCTACAGCTCACCTGCTGAGGAGAGGCTATATCAGCCTCTCACTAAGTTCATCACAGCTAGTGTCTCTCCACCAACGGATGGGGCTGCCGAGCACAGCGAAACCCACCAAGAACCCGGACAGGCCAAAGAACACCCACCACAGACAGGGAACAACAGCACATGACCTGACTGTGTAAACAAGCTCATTTCTGCATTTATAACCTCCTATCTGGCCTTTTGTTTAGTACAGATTAGGATCTAGTTAATTTTCAAGGTAGACCAGTTAATTTCTGTCCCAGTAGGTACTTATCTAGTCTTTGAGAATTCCTAGGAATGATGTGTATGCGTGAGTTCCAGTGGGGATGGGGCAGAGTTTGGGAGACTGATTAAAAAAATCATAGATTCCAGGGACTTCCCTGGCGGCGCAGCGGTTAAGAATCCGCCTGCCAATGCAGGGGACACGGGTTCGAGCCCTTGTCCGGGAAGATCCCACATGCCGCGGAGCAACTAAGCCCGTGCGCCACAACTACCGAGCCTGCACTCTAGAGCCCGCAAGCCACAACTACTGAGCCCGCGTGCCACAACTACTGAAGCCCGTGCGCCTAGAGTCCGTGTTCCACAACACGAGAAGCCACCGCAATGACAAGCCCGCGCACCGCAACGAAGAGTAGCCCCCGCTCGCCGCAACTAGAGAAAGCCCATGCGCAGCAACAAAGACCCAACGCAGCCCAAAATAAATTAATTAATTTTTTAAAAGTCATAGATTCCATCCTTTCCCCAGAGTAGATGTGAGAGGGTGCGGGTGCCGTGCAGGGTGCGTTCAGGGTTGCAGTCACGATCATTGGATTTTTTCATCCCCAGTTTCCCACATTCATTCATATAAACCATTTCATTTTTTGGAGGCGACAAGTAAATCTGAGGCAGGCTCCTGATGCAAGGGGGATTTTTATCCATCGAGTGTCTTTCTCCTTTGAGACCCCAGGCGAGAGGAAGCAAACTGACTAAAAGTGTGCCAGCTTGGTGCCAAGCACAAGGCACGTCTCTTGTCTCCCGACACCCTCTGCAGAAGGTCTTATCTCCTTCTTCGTGGAGAGAAGGAAGCGGAAGCTGAGAAAGTAGAGGGCCCAAGTCATCAAGGTCAGCGGTGCACACAATCGCAAAACACGCTCTTTCTCCTGTGCCAGCCTCTACTTTTGTTGCAAGGGAAACGAAGGGAAAGAGAAGTGCAGGTCTTGACTTTTGCAAAGAGTGGGTTTTATAACAATGGCTGTATACACACTAGCCAGTGCTTCAGGAGGTATGAGGATATAAAATAAAAAGACTTCTAGATCACTACTGAACTTTCTAGAATTTCTGATCTTATTAATATATACCCTCCTTATCAGTACAGGCAGTACATCAGTTAGTAAGCTGCACTCTTGTAGGCATCAGGGATACAGGATAGAAGAAAAGCATCAAAAATCTCGATCTCCAAGGAGCTCTCTCTCTGCGGTACCAGCAATGCCTCCAGGAGGGCTGGGAGTCTCCACACCTTCCAGTAATCTGTTACCTGACACATGGCTAGTGTAATTTTAAAAATCAAGCATAAAATGCAAGTTTCTAAGTTGACTAGAGAAGACGGGTAGGTGCTGGTCATGAAGAAAAGTTTAGGGCTCTCCACAAATCTTCCTGCCCCTGGGGGGAAACCAAGGAAGGAGGAGCGGATTGAACTGGTCACCTTTTAAATAGGTGTGGGAGGGCCCTGGCCAGGTGCGCTCCCAGGAATCAGGGCCACCGTGTTTGTATCTCCTGCAATGCAATACCTAGGGCGGGCGAGAGGCTGCCCTAAGAAGGCCTAGCCCAATCATTCCGGCCCCGGGGCGAAAGCTGTGGGTTGTGTCCTCTTCTGCCCTACCTCACATCAGCATGCTGAGATCCGAGACTCGTGTTTGGGTGTGGAAAATACACAGAGCAGGGAATTTTAGCTTCTCGGGTTTTCAGTGCTTAAATTTAGCTTAGGTAAAGTTTTCTAAGAGATCCAGCTTGCCTCACGAGCATTCTGCACAGTAGAATAAAGCGTAACTTTGCTTTACTTTACTCTTTGTACATAGGCTTCCCTGGGAGATCTCAAATGGCCCTCGATGTGCCAAAAAGGAAAATGATTTATTAAAATTTAACTGTCTGCCAGGCATTGTTCTAAACACTTAATGCAGATGATCCCATTTAACTCGATCAGCTCTGAAAGGCAATATTAATTCTGTAGATCAGGCAACTAGCTTAGAGAGGCTAAGGAATCTTGCCAATTAAGACCGATTCAGAAGGCCACACTCTACAACAATACTACGTTAGTCATGCTCTGTATATTCCAACAGTGGGCAGTCCATACATAAAAGGGAACTCTACACTCAGTCCAACCCAGAAAATTACAAAAGTACAACCTCACCGGTAACTCGAATTTAGTGTTTAAATACATACATGAAAAGAAAACGATGTTACACGTTACTTTTTCTTTTGACAGTCCAGAATCATTTTTAAAATCAACATGAAATTAATGAATAAAATGCTGAAAATCAAACATTGTTCAAATATATGGGACAGCACGGCACAAATCTTCATGGAACAAAAACATTATGATGTTCCTTTGCTGACAATCCACGACTGCAGAGCACTCAGTCTCAAAAATCTACAAAGTGAGTCAACGTGTCAGAATTTGAAGCTGTTATTAAAGACAATCAGTGTGGCAGATATAACGGATCACTGAACTACTGCCTACAGCACACGTGGATGTGATGAGGTAACTGAAGATAATTGAGAAAAGCTGCATTTAGACTTTCTTTTTAAAACTATACCACATATGAAGATTTCAAACTTACAAAACATTGTGTTGAATACAAGGTCATTTTCATTTTTATGAAAGAAAACGATGTGGACTTTGATATAATTTAATGAGCATTTCTGGTATACCCACTATATATCAGATACTGTGCTAAAAAATGGGGATAGGAAAATAAATGACTCATTCTTTGTTCTTGAATAGCCCACAGTAGAGTAAGAGAGACAAAATGATTGCACCATGTGGCAGAGCCCAGCTAGTCGCTCTCCTATGTCCAAGTGGACTACTTCCCCAGGCCACTGCATCTAGACGGTGCACATGGCCAGTCTCACCAGCAGAATGCTGACACAAAAGTGATGTCTGCCACTTCCAGGCCAGGCCCTACGTCTCCTGTGGCATCCTCCACACTCTCTTTGTTCATCAGTTAGCACAGAGCAGGGGATCTGCAGCCAAAGCCAAAAGGAAAAAAGGAATGGTGGACAGGTGGTTTTATGGGTCAGAGCCCACACCTCCCACCCAGAAAGAGAACCCTTTGCTGGGATAAACCACTGTCCTTCGGGGGCTGTCTGTTAAGTTACTAGACCCTGACCAATAGACAGTATAATGTAAATGTAGTTTTCAAAATGAAAGCACAGCACAGGGAGCTCTAGGAACATGAGAATGAGGCCCCTAAGTGATGGTGAGGGGGGAAGGGAGGGAGGGAATTCCTAGAGGAGAGGCAACTGGAGACTCATCCCAAAAGATAAGCAGGATTTACCTGGGGTGGGGGAAAATGTGACAGAATACTACATTGCATGTACCAATTTAAAGGGTACAGTGGAATAGAGAAGGTACTGGACCGGTAAGCAAAGTGGGTTTTCACCTAAAAGCAATGTAGAGCCATTCAAATACTCCCAGCAATACTCCAGACATGATCAGATCTGCAGCTGTAAAGTCCTCAATGGAGAACAGTCTGGAAGAGTTGGGAGCTAGAAAAGGCAGAAAGGCCAGTTAACTGGTCTGCTGCAGTTCCCCATGGTAGGAATGAGAAACGCAAGGTTTGGCGCAGAAAAGAGGAAGCAGATCAAAGAGCGCGTGGAAGCATCAAAGGAACTTTCTGACCAACTAGACAAGTGGTAGAATATGGAGGATGAGAGGTCATCAAGGAATGAAGGATTTCCAGGTTTCTGGATTAGATAACCAGGTGAATGGTGGCACCAGAAATGGAGAAACAGGCTACAGGAGAATGGGGATGAGCAGATGTACAGAGAACAGGCTGGGCTCGAACTGTATATGGGACATCAAGGAGGTGAAGTCCACGGGCTGGTGGATATTGAGTTCTAGCAAGTTCAAGGCTAGAGGTGTGTGCTTGAGGGTAGCTGAAGCCATGGAATGGATGAGATCCGATTGAAAGGCCAGAACCCTGAGGCGCCAGCACACAAGGAAACAGTACTGGGGGCACAGTCATGTGCTGGGAAAGGTGATAATGGAGAGACTACAGCACAATGATTCCTTCTAAAGAGGTGTCCTCAGCTCCAACTGATGGTTGCCATGTGGGAGAGTAAAGCGCAGTGTTCTCAGAGCTTCTGATTCCTTTTTCCCTTCTCCCGGGTCTTCAGGTACCGCTGCAGCGCCTGCTGCGTGAGCTCCCGGACGCGCATCTGGCCCTCCTTGCAGGGCACCACGGTGCCGGTCCTGCCGAGGCGCACGGTCACTTTCATCCCGGCCCCCGGCGACCGGGCTGGGCTGGGCCGAACAGCTGTCTGGGCCGGCGGGCGTGGGCGGACACAGAGACCCCGGGGCGCCCCTCCGGGCCGGGGGCTCGCAGCAGAGCCCCTTGGCCCTGGGCAGGCGGGAATCGGAGAGGAGGCGGCAGCGGGGAGGGCGACCCCCCAGGTGGCGGGGGGCCGGGGACGCCGCGGTTTAGGGCCCCGGCCCTGGCCCTGGCGGTGGCGCGCGGGGCCGCAGTTGGGAGGAAACTTTTGCGCCGGATCCCAACTCCTCCGCTGTGCGCCTCGCTCTGGGCTCCCGCCTACTTTTTCTTTTTCAACACTATTTAACATTATAAGAAAAATCTTACTTAAAAGAACAGGATCTTAATCTTTTAAAAACTGTCATACAACCATTAAAAAAAAATCACTTTTGCATATTCAATTATTCTGAACGCAATCATATTCCAGCTACTGCGCTAAATCTGCCTACTGGCCAGTTCTTGTTGGCAAAGCTAATCTCCATCCAGGCCTGTGTGTCCTCCCGAGTTCCTTGTCACACTGGCATCTGTTCACCCCGCAAGACCCAGACCTGGGGCTCCGCTTCTCCCTGACCCAGTCTTCACTAAGTCACGTGGTCCCCTTCCTCTCTCTCCAATAGCGCTTCCCCAGGTCAGGTCCTATCACAACATCACCTGGACTATTATTCCTTAGTTACCTAACTGCCCTCCACCAGCTTGTGGCCGCCCTCCAATGGCTTCCGCCTTCCACCTGGTGCCCACCTGAGCACTCTAGACTCTAGGCCATGAATGACCTCAGCCAGCAGGCATTTCAGCCTCTCTGACCCTCAGTCTCCTTGTCTGCGAGCAGGGTAGTAACTAACACCCACGTGCTGGGAAAACTCGACTCCTTAACTCAGCACTTAGCAGAGTAAGTGCAGTCAGGAAAAGTGGTCTGCTTAGCCTGAAAGTCTTTTTCTAAGAGTTTCTTCTGGGCATACTGGAAGAGAAAACAACACTTTCTAGAACCCCAGAAGCTTCGTCCCTATGTGTCTAGTTCTCCTTTTCTGCCCACAGAATGAAGATCAGAAGAGAACCTTCTGTGCCCTATGCTGCCCTTCCAGCTGCTCCTTGGTCCTCTCAACCAGGCTGAAGTTAATATCCCCACCGTGTGATGGTCAACAGAGGATCAGAGGGTACAGGGGAGGGGAGTGGCCGCACCAGGGAATTATCAGAACTTCTAGGTGCCGGACAAAAACCTACACAGGATGGATGCAGGGGCTATTTCATTTTCATTCTGCTCCCCCAAATGTAGCATAATAGTAAATGTTAAACAAAATAAATAAACATTACCTACTAGAAATAGGTTAAGAAAGAGGTTAAAGGTACGCCTTTATGATTTTAGTCATCAAAAATGCTATAATATTCTAAAATACTAGCAAGTATAAAATGAACCAATTTTGTTATGTAACACAACAAAAAATAATACACTTCAAAATAAGGACAATGTAGAGAAGAATTCTGCATTTTATTGCACTCAAATAACATTCAACAGAAGGTGATTACATTATTTTTAGAAAATCCATTGATGCTGCCCAGCTTGGCATCTATCTGTAAAGACAAGGCTCATTCATTGAGATATTTGGAATTAGAAAGTATTTGAAGTTGACCACAGCATAATGAATCTTCAATGTCCAGAGTTCTAGAGATGATTATATACAAAAACCCAGCAAAATTTATTCTACGCATTTATCAGTTCTATGTCACTCCTAAGTTTCCCTAAAAAAATACCGCTTTATAAAAAGTAGTCTTCTATAATTCACAATACGGAGTAAGAGCTTTAGGAGATTCTGAGTAGCAACTCTGTATTACCCGGATCACAGCTTTAGAAAATTATTGCTTCTTTACTAGCATATTACTTTGGGTTTCACTACACTGCAGTTCAGCGTAACTTACGACATTGTGCCAATGGCCTCTAATGAGAAAAATATAACATCTCTTTGATTTTGACCCTAAAAGCAGAAAAAAATGCCACTTTATCTTAAAACAATGTGAACATGATCAAGAGCTCCCCGGACACACAAATGAAACCACTTCTTAGAGGTTTGTTCTTTTTTTATAGCTCAGGGTCCTTTCAAAATGAGGGTGTAGCTACCTTTTTTTTCTCTAACAAATGAGTATTTTCATCACGGCGGCTATTTCTGAGCCACAAATTACTCACACTAAAAATAGAAGAAATGCTTCAGCGTGGAAAGGAAAGGGCTCAAACATCGTCAAACAGCAGCGGGCCTCTGGCTTGTGAGCACTTTTCACACACCCTACATCACCCAGCCAGAGGCCCTGTGGACTTTGATACACGGAGCAGGCTTCGGCGTTGTACGGGCGTTACTTAACCAGCCAAAGGCAGAACAACCTTTACGTTATGCACCAGTAATTGATAAGAGACTTTCTAAAATTTACACAGATACTCACGGGGCTACAGCTATTCTACAATCACTCCGAGGTGTGGAAAAGCATTTTTGCATGATATAACAGGCCATTCCTTTCCCCTGCGTCCTAACAATAACGTTCCCCCCTTATTTTGAAAAATAAATTAACCATGATAATTTAAACTTTTATTGAAATTTAACATTTTTCTAATTAACAAGCTAAAAGCTACAGGAATCTCAAATGTTGAGTTTTACCCTGAATACTCGAAGCTAATGTAGCAATTTTTTATAAAGGTATTGCTGCAGATATATACAACGCAAATCTTCACAGCTAATAATGACCCCATCAGTGTCTTTAAGACACTCTTAGTGGTTTTAAATCATGTTTCACACAGTGTATACAAGTCAGCCCAACACAGTTAGTGTTAATTACGGATAAGAGATATTAAAACCCTGCCATGACAACTGCTGCTACATCATCAATACGATTATTAACTATTGTCTGAAAAACACATAAATGCAGGTAAGACTAAAAGCTGTGTCACAAAAGGAAAAAGAAAAGAAATCCAATGGATCCACTACGGCTATCAGAAAAGGACATGCAGGAATGTAACATCACATGTGATTTTTGTTTCTAAAAGAAAATACACTAAAATGCCAGTGGACTATGGTTCATTCAAAACATCTTTAGTGTTCATTCCCAAAGATCTTGGTCTGCTCAGAAATTACTTCACAAGATCTATCCCGGCCATCTTTTGCAGCGTATGGGTAAACTGGTCCTCCTGTGGTGGTAGGGGCAGCCTTTCTGAAGCTTTACGTATCTGCAAAGATAAGGGGAATCTAAATTAAAGGACCAGCTAGACATAGACTGCGAAACTGCTTCATTTCTACTCTACTTTTAAAAAACCCAGCAACAGAAGTAAATGCTTTTTTTTTTTTTTTGTATTGTTGTTGTTTTTAACAGCAACAGGGTAACACAATGATTCACTACCTAGAGTAGTCCCTGGGGGCCCTACTACTATGAAAGTAGTTCCTACTGCTTTCATTGCAAAGCTAATGAAAATCAGAGGTTCTCTAGAGCATCTGAGAATTACAACTGAATTTAAAAATGTCAGTCTTTTGAGAAATACAAGCATTAAATTTCTCCCATCAATGTTTTCACTGTATTAAAAAGAAATGCAATAGAGGGGGGGAAAATCTAGTATGGCATTTGAAACACAAATATAGGAAGGATTTTCAAGGGGCAAGAGGATACTGAAGTTGCAGTTAAAATATATTACTTTAATAATCATAACAATTTTAATGTTATTGAAGATATAAGTGGTTGGTAAAAAAAGTATACACTATTTTAAAAGAAGTAAAATTCATTCCTGTCCAACTTTCAACAAATATTTTCTTATTCCGAACTCTAGTGTCTGATTTATTTTACTACCACAGCACTGGATCTATGTTACAATTAGAGTAAAAAAGGCGTTTGTGCACATAAAGGCCCAGTCAAATTCCGATATAATTTCTAAAGCTGGATTGTGATCCTTCCTTCCTCCCTCCCTCCCTTCCTTCCTGCCCTATGTATCTGTCTACATGTGTGCATACGTGTGTGTGTGTAACCAGAAATTATTATGTAAGCAGAATTATTTGGTGCTAATGAGAAGTAACTGGAAATTATATGTATACTTTTGTACATCCAACAGAAATGAATGTTTGTCTACCAAAAGACATGTATAAGAATATTCACAGCTGCTTTCTTCATAACAGCCCCAAACTAGAAATAGTCCCTGCAGCCATAAACATAGAATGGAATTTTTAAATGGAATATTACAGTAAATAGCAGTGATAAAACCAATAACTATAAATATCAAAGGGGATGAAACTCACAGTCATAATGATGAGCAACAGAAACCAGTCACAAGAAAAGTGTATATATATGTGTGTGTGTTTACTTGCGGTTCTATTCAATCAAATTCAAAGACGGGCAGATCAATCTATGATGACACAGGTCAGAACAGTAGTTACCATTTGTGGGCGCGTTACTGGGGGAGGGGAGAGGGAGAGACCTCCAGGGGCTGGAAGAACTCTGCGTAGTGGGTACAAGAATGTATCACACGTACAAGTCCATCAAACTGTACCCTCAACATGTGAGCACCTCCCGGTGTGTAAATTACACCTCAACAGAAAGAGTTTTTAAAAGATGGGTTTGACCTTAGGTTCTCTTAGAATTTAACCGTTAGCTGGATTGTGAGGAATAAGCATTTCTGTAACCTGTGCAATCAAAAATCCTGGAGACCATGGGAACTTATTCAAAGAATAACAAGGCAAATAACGTAAAAGCTCAGTTACAATTCTGAATGACTCAAATTATGCCCCTACGTATTTGAAGAAGTCTCCACTCAGAAGTAGTCCACCAAGTTGCAAACCCAGCGTCTCCAAATTCAGGCCAGTGGCCTCTGCTACCCTCTGTTCCTCCCGCCTTCTGTATCTCCATTAAGGTTCCATCATTCATCCATTCAAGCCAGAAGCACAGGAATCAAGCTCGACGCTTCCCCCTCAACCAGCCCCTCTCCCACCAAATTACCTCCACCGCCAGGGTCCGTGAAATCCGTCCCTGCTCTGCATCCCTGCCACCAGTTCCAGGTCCCACCACTTCTGCTTAGATGAACACATCTGCCCCCTGACTGGTCTCCACCTCCTCACAGGACCCCCTCTGTTCAAATCTGGATCTGATCACACGACTCCCCGGCTTGGAATTTTTCTGCTGCTTCCCTGCACTTTCAGGCCCACGTTCAAATTCGCAAACATCGTTTACGGGATCGTCCGAGAAGCGCCGCCTGCCCGTCCACACTGTCTACTTACACCTGTACCTGGCACACCACCTTGGTCTTTGTGCTGCAAGCACTTGCCGTGCCCACCCCCGACGTGCCAGCTCCTTCACTTCCAGCAGCTCCTCAAGGCTCCGCTCCAGCACGACCACACGTGGGAGGCCTTGCCTCACGCTTACACTCCGGGCCCCAAAGTCGGCTTAGTTCCCCCTCCTCTGGGTGCTGCCCTGTGTACCACTCTGAGAAGTTAATGACGCCCTATTGGTTGCTATCCCCAGCTGTACACCCACAGGATGAGA